TACATAACCCATAAATTTTGCCCCTGGAGACGTGGGCCCTAGGCGGTCGCTCGGGTTGCCCACCGTCTAGGGCGACCCTGTTTCTAACATCATATGATTGAAAATTTGTTGAACAAGAAGACCTTAGATAAACCCCTAAATGAGGATATTTTAAGGGTTTGCATAGGAGTGAAATAGATAAATCTCTAAATGAGGATATTTCAAGGGTTTGCATAGGAATGAAGTTAATGATGATTCAACAATCAAAAATCAAAGTGAATGAATAGTATTTTGAGCACAAAGTCCCTAATGACATTGCATGTTACTTTATCCTTTTTTTTTTTGGAATATGTATCATATATATGTATACTTTTGGAAATTTATTATTTAGCAATTGCATTACAATTTCTGGTTATTGATAACTTTTAAAAATTTCTGAGTAACATTTGAAAACCATGTAACACATGAGAGAGAAGGCGAGTACATATGCATTCATATAGAAAACATGAGTAATATGTGAATTATATGAGAAAGAAAAGGGTAGTGTATCCCAAAATATTAAAATATAAAAAGTTATAAATACGCCTTAAACCACAATATGACTTGCAAAACCGTCCAATGTAAGTTGCCTCGTTCACTTGCAGTACACATGGATCTCGTGAGGAAGTTGCAACACATGACACACATCTAGTGTTCCCTTTTGATTAATGCAATATGAGGGGTAGACTGAAGTCGCATTACAGACATAATGAGATTTTGAAAACACCAATCAACATTAGTCTTGTCTGGATAATACTCTAGTTATCTTGCAATTGTACATTTAAGTAGTTTCATTCAACTTCCTTGACTCACACTTGGTTCGTTTTTTTTTTTATTATCAAACATTTAACATTCAAAATTCAAAAATTGAATGTGACAATTTGAAAAAATTGAATCCGTTTTACCCAACCCCACAACGCTCACACGCGGAGTTGGATATAAGCGTTGTTATTACAAACTACAACTATACAACTACAAGCTACACAACTCAAAAGTTCCCATTTCTGCCCGTTGCCGTTTGCTATTGCATAGCCTTTGACTGCCGTGAATCCATCAACCTGAATCTATCATCTCCGATCTAGCCGCTATCTCCGATCTGTCTCACCGGACAAAATGGAGAATCTTATTAATCTTGTCAACAAACTACAGAGAGCATGCACTGCCCTCGGTGATTTCGGCGAAGGATCCTCTCTGCCGACCCTTTGGGATGCCCTGCCTACAATCGCCGTCGTCGGCGGTCAGGTAGATCCAGATCTTTTCTAGTTTTTTTTATACATATCTTATATCGCGCAACTTCTTTTTCTTCTCCCTGCTTTTATGAACTCAATCGTAACCTAACAAGTTTGGGGATAAATCGTTTGGTACTCATTTTTATGGACGTTTAAACTTCAGATCCGTTTTACGTGATAATTCATATCGCAATACATTCATTTCCATATCTGGTTGTCGTAGTCGGTGGAATTTTTGCTTTGCGTAGGTTTGGTTTACGGACTTTATTTGGTACTCGAGCCTCAATTGTTAGATCTAAACGATCCGTCGTAAGTTGCTACGATGATTTGTATAGTAATCGCTGGTGCAAAGATATTTGGTTTTGGTGATTTGAGCGTAAACTGTGAGATGCCGTGTGGAAAAGTTACAAACCCTAGTTTTGTGCTGCTGGAAGACTGAACTAATCCACACCATATCAAGTGATAAATCTAACGGCCAAAGATCTAGAAACTATCTAGTATATAAGCCTTAATTTCGATTGCTTGCAATATAATTTTACTATTTCAGTATTCTTTTTCATTGAATTAATAACTCACTTTTATGAAATTAAGTATTGATGAGCTTCATTACCTTTTTTCCTGGTGGGTTGGGTGCATATCTTTTAAATTTATCTGTTAACATAGCTCAAAGTATGAATTTGTGTTGTTGTTCAAGCAAGCTTTTCTATAATTGCTGTTCAAGCTACAAATTTAATTTTTAGCTTTGTTATTGTCATCTATGTTACCAATCTGTTAACATAGCTCAAACTTATCATAGTTTTTTGTTTTCCTACTTTTCATGTATATTTCTAGAGCTCTGGAAAGTCATCTGTGCTGGAGAGTGTTGTTGGGAAGGATTTTTTGCCTCGTGGATCTGGTAATTGAAATAGTTAATTCCTTCCTGTACACACCCTATGATTGCTGTTGACTAAAGCAATGAAACACTTGTGTATCTATGTAATGCAGGGATTGTTACCAGGCGTCCTCTTGTTCTACAACTCCATAGAATCGATGAGGGAAGAGAATATGCAGAGTTTGCTCATCAACCAAGAAAGAGGTTTACTGACTTCGGTATGTATGGAATTGGAGAGAGATTTAACATCAATTTTTAATTTTTAGCTAGAAAAATCATTAACATATTCCAAAGTGGGGTTGCTATTCAAATTCCAAACTCATTTGTTTTTCTTGTGCAGCTGCTGTGAGGAAAGAAATCTCTGATGAGACTGATCGTGAGACAGGACGAAGCAAACAGATTTCATCAGTTCCTATATATCTCAGTATCTATTCTCCTAATGGTGAGATATTTGATAGTTTTATTAACTATAAGTTCTTTACTTATTAACAGTTAACTCACTTAATAATGTATGATGTTGACAGTTGTGAACTTAACCCTTGTCGATCTTCCTGGTTTGACAAAAGTAGCTGTTGGTGAGTTTAGCAACATTGAATTTTTCAATATTAGATAAACTTCTTGTGTCCATTAACTTTTCCCTCATCTCACACTTTTGTGATTCTTGATTCTTGTAGAGGGTCAGTCAGAGAGCATCGTGGCAGATATTGAAAACATGGTGCGATCCTACATTGAGAAAGTAAGCTATTTTCATCATTTGCTTGGTCAACTATGGTCAACATACTTATTTGACTGTCTATCTGTTTGCCTTGCAGCCTAACTGCATTATTCTGGCAGTTTCTCCTGCCAATCAGGATCTTGCTACATCTGATGCTATCAAAATTGCTCGTGAGGTAGATCCACAAGGTTTGTAAACAAACATATTGTCTTTTTTTTTTTTTTCCTTGATGTTTTGTTGGGTTTTATTTTCATTAGTTTAATGTGAATGTATAGGGGAGAGGACGTTTGGAGTTTTGACTAAGATTGATCTTATGGACAAGGGTACCGATGCAGTTGATGTGAGTGTTGGGTCTTGAAATTAGCATGTTATTGTTTTTGTTTTATTTATAATGTAAATATTATGTACTACTACAACAGATGTTGGAAGGGAAATCTTATAGGCTGAAGTTTCCATGGATTGGTGTTGTGAATCGGTCTCAAGCTGATATTAACAAAAGTGTCGACATGATTGCTGCCCGAAGGAGGGAAAGGGAATACTTCAATACTACTCCCGAATACAAGCATCTTGCTAGTAAAATGGGCTCTGAGCATCTAGGGAAAGTGCTTTCCAAGGTATAAATAACTTTTTTAGCTCAATTCTATCCCTAAGTTGGCATTGCTTTGTCGTCTCCCACATTTGGTTTGTGGATTCCTGTTGGAATTGGAATCAGAGATTCCATTCCGTGGCCTGTTTTGTTGCCAAATGGATGGAAGTAATTGAATTCCATCCTTCCTTTTTTTTTTTTTTTTTTTTAATTAAAAGACCAAAATACCTCCATTATATATTGAAATAAATCAATAAATTGTCTGAGGACTTGTCCTCTTTCCTCCAAAAAATAAATGAAATAAAAATTTAACTGTAAATAAAAACCAAGTTGTTGTTCAGTTTACGTTATTGAATTCCATTCTATTTTCTGCTTACAAAACGCTTGAAAGATTACGATTTACGATTCCTTTGACAGATTCCATTCCTATGGGTGGATGGATTACACCATTTCTAAGGGTGTGTGTAACAAATTGAGTTTCATTTTTTCCTTTCATTAAAAGACCAAAACACCCCTATTTTATATATTGAAAAAAAATGAAATTAAAAAAATTAATTTCAAATAAAAATATTAGAAAGTTATTGTTTTTTTTTTGGTAACTAAATGCATGACAAATTCCTGATATTTGCAAAAACATTATTTGGTTTTATATATTTAGGTAGAGGTGTAAAGTTTGAAGTTAATTAAGTTTTTGGTAATGAATTGTTTCAGCATTTGGAAACGGTGATTAAGTCCCGAATTCCAGGCCTTCAATCTCTCATCAACAAAACAATCATTGAACTTGAAACAGAACTGAGTCGTCTCGGAAAGCCCATTGCTACTGATGCTGGGGTAATCATTTCTTCCTTTTTGACTTAATATCCAGTTTCTTAAATTAAAACATTCTTATTAATTATTTGCAGGGAAAACTGTATATGATTATGGAAATATGCCGTGCTTTTGATCAAACATTCAAAGAACATCTTGATGGCATGTACGTATTTATGATTTTTGCTTAATTTGTAAAAGTAATAAAAAATCATTTCTGGTCCCCAAACATAATCAATTTTTGCATTTTTGGTATTCATTTGAGGTTCTTGTTTATCTGTTCCATGTAAAAAGACTATTTTTTGGTTCTTGAGTATAGCTGATATTTGCAATTTTAGTCCCAAAGTTTTACTTGGAACAGGGACCAAAACTTTAAAACGAAAACATTTGGGGACCAAAAGTGAACAAGATCTAATTTTCTCTATTTCTGACTTCAATGTTATTATTGAGAGAGTAAATTAGATTTTGGGTCCTTGGGTATAGTTGATTTTCTTTATAAAATCTCTTTAAGTAAAAAGTTTTTGAGAGAAAAATGTAATTTACTGTTATTGTAATATTGGGTGAAGTTGTTGATATGGTTTACATACATGCAATTACAGACGGCCAGGTGGTGACAAAGTGTACAGCATATTCGATAATCAACTTCCTGCCGCCTTAAAAAGATTACAATTTGACAAACAACTGTCCATGGAAAATGTGAGAAAATTAATCACAGAAGCTGATGGTTATCAGCCTCATTTAATAGCCCCTGAGCAAGGCTATCGTCGTCTTATTGAATCCACCTTAATTACCATCAAAGGCCCCGCTGAGGCTGCTGTTGATGCCGTCCGTAACTTTTTGTTTCTTTTTTTCAAAACTCATTCTCTTCTGTCTATTTATTAAAATAATAATAATAATATTTCTGTTTCTTCTTCTTCTTCAGGTTCATGGTATACTAAAGGATCTTGTACACAAGTCCATAAACGAAACTGCGGTTAGTCTTTCTCTCGTCTTTTTAAGAAGACCCTATCAAGACTAAATTACATTTTTCATCCAAAATTTTTTTTTTCTTACAATTTCGGTCCTTATTTGAGGTATTTGTAACATTTTTGGGGCTGTTAAGTCCAGTATGAGTAAAGTGCTATATACTACATGAAATCTAGACCGAATAAACCATTTTAATGAACTAAATGACCATTTTATCCTTACCTTCCAAAGGTAAAACTAACTGTTAGTATCATTTCATTCTGTCCAGATTAAGTCAAAAAGAAACAACCCATAAAAGCAACTATTTACTCTTGTTATATTACTCTATTAATTACAGGAGTTGAAGCAATACCCGTCCCTGAGGGCAGAAGTAATGAATGCAGCTTGTGATTCATTAGATAAAATGAGAAACGAAAGCAAGAAAGCCACCATACAGTTAGTTGATATGGAATGCAGTTACTTGACGGTTGATTTCTTCCGGAAGCTTCCCCAGGATATTGAAAAAGGCGGGAACCCAACGCACTCCATTTTCGATCGATACAATGATTCTTATCTTCGTAGGATCGGATCAAATGTTCTGTCATATGTTCATATGGTGGTTGGGACACTGAGACACTCCATCCCAAAGTCAGTGGTGTTTTGTCAAGTACGTGAGGCTAAACGTACTTTACTTGACCATTTTTTCACTGAGTTGGGTGCAAAGGAGGTAATAATCTCTTCTTCATTTTTAGTTGCATTCCTTCCTTTTGTCCAAATAATATATATGTTAAAATTTGGTTTGGTTGGCAGGGAAAGCAATTGGCTAAACTGTTGGATGAGGATCCGGCCATAATGCAGAGGCGTATGGATTTGGCAAAGAGATTGGAATTGTATAGAGCTGCACAAGCTGAGGTGGATGCTGTTGCATGGGCCAAGTAGAGAACTAATTCTTTCTTCAAACTTTATATACACAAACCAACCAACCAACCAACCTTTGTTCTACTTGTACTCTGAACTACTACTCCTCCTCATGGATTGGTGTTTGATTTTTTGGTAGAAACACAAACACACATATGCTGTTAATAGTATTCTAGTTTTGTTTTATCACTTTGTGTGAGTCAGGGAGACTATTATATATTGTATTGTATTGTATTTGTATTTGTTATTTCTTATTTGTCTTGTCTTTTTCCATCTTCATTTTTTAGCCTTTATTACATACATACATGTTTTCTTCTAGACTATCATTTTTAATGCACACCCACAGTTTCTTTCTCATATCATATGTTATGTTCCTAAATTGGAGAACCAGATTCGTTATTATCAAATCATGTTTTTAGAGCGTTTATGATAAAAAAAAAAAGCCACAAAAGATTACTCGCGCAAGGAAAACATTGTATTGTTTATAAGGAAAAAGGGCACCTTTTGTTCAATCTTAATGTTTGGAGTTTTCAAATTTACATTATCATTATTATGTAAATGAACATTATAATAATGTCATTAATTTTTTCATTATAACTATAAATCTAGTGGTTAATCACAAGTTAACCAAAACGGTAGCCAGTGACATACTTTGAACGAATGTTATCAAGTAATCGTACATTTCGCAAAATTTACTTCCAAATTACTTGCTTTATGACATGGATCCATGAATCCCAATTAAAATGGAGGGGTCGTGACTCTATGAGAGTTGGCCTAATTGTCATTCTATAAAACTTTCCCTTTATATCCATTTGCAATGAAAGAGATAATTCATATGAGCTCTAGCTGTATAAACCGAACGTTTTTGCAATTGAAATATATATTCATATAGTTGACCTCGTGCATATACATTTCAATTGCAAAAAATGTTTGGTTTTATACAACTCCAGCTCATATGAATTGTCTCTTACATTGCAAATGGATATAAATGGAAAGTTTTATAGAATGACGATTAGGCCAACTCATTTGTATGGATATGATGTTGACCAATTAAAAAGGAACATGAGAGGAAGATGGAGGTCGTAGAAATGTGAATGATGCGGTGGGCATGTGTGATGTTGTTGGACAGGATAACAAACATAGAAATTAGGAATAAGTTGGAAGTGATGTCGATCATTGAAAAATTAAGATAAGATTGGGTTGGTTTGGACATGTACTTAGAAGACAACCATCAACTGTTGTTAAGAGAGCAGAGACAGTCACACACGAAGGTGCGAGGATGATAGGGCGTCCGAGAAGAAAGTGGGAAGACAATATAAGGTTAGACTTGAAGGAGTTAATTCTTGGACATGACCTATGACAAGAAAATGTGAAGGCATAAAATTTGGGTATCATGGTAGTTTTGACTTTTGACATAGTCTAAGGTCTAGTTTCATTTTTTTTTTAATTTTTAATTTAATATTTATTTTAACACCGACTTATTCATGTCATCTATCCTTCCAACATTTGTGGTTAGTATCTTCTTTCAGCTTACTTCTTGTATTTAGGGGTATTTGGATAGGGAAAAAAAAGGGTGCTTATTACTTACTGTTTATTGCTTATTTGTGTGACAACCATCAAATTTCGGTCAAGTCAAAGTCAAACAAAGTCAACTAGTCAAACCGGTCAACTC